ATACTGCATTCTATTCTATAATATACTACTGTATCTTAGTCCATGCCGCTCTGTCATTGCTTGTCCATATATGTATATATTCTTAAATCCCATTCCTTACTAGTTTTGTGTGTATTGGGTATATGTTGTGAAATTGTTAGATATTACTGCACTGTCGGAGCTAGAAGCACAAGCATTTCGCTACACCCGCTATAACATCTGCTAAACATGTGTATGTGATAAATAACATTTGATTTGAAATGCACACACTCAGACACACACGCTTCCGTAAATAAATAAAAGGTGCTATAGACCTATATCTGTCTATCTGGGCAGAGCCCTGCAGAAAGCGAGTAAAATCGCATCAGACTCTTCCCCATCCACTTCACCCTGAATTCCATCCTCTCTGGCCGCAGGTACAGGCAGCCAAAAGCATAAACCAACAGCGGCAGAAATTGTTTTATTCCAAGTGCAATACCTCAGATGTACAAGATGTTGGACTAATATACACTTTAAGCAGTAAGCACTTTGACATGCAAATATAGGCCCAGCTTACTCAGACATTTTTAGACCCTTGCACTATCCTGCCAACTTGTTTGTAAATATTTGTTTCTTTTTTCTGTTGTTGTGTTTTACATTTTAATATGTGATCTTGTCTGTATGTACTTTGACTGCTGCAAAATGAACTGACTCGAGGACATTAACATCTTTTTCTGAACAACCATGCAGTTTGTCAGAGCAACATCCAAGCCGTTACACCAGAGGTTCAAACCTCTCAACGAGGTATCTACTGTTCAGATACATACTATGGATCGCTACAATATGACGGAAAGAGAGAGTAATGGAATAATGCCCCATTGGATCAATGTAATAAATGTATGGAAAGACCATACATGATCTGTTATTATTCAAACCAGTTTACACCTTTCATCCCATGACATTGTAGAATAATATCTAATCACAGTTGACTCAAATGGATAAATAACGCAGTTGTTTGACTGAAGCATGTGGATCCAGAGTTGGCATAATATCAGGCCAACAGCAGTATGTTTGAATTTATTTACTCACCTGCCAATAATTCTCAGCTGTTCTATGACATTGAGAAAAAAGTAGCATTCCAAATGGCACCCTATTCCCTATATAGTGCACTACTACCCTATGGGCCCCGGTCAAAAGTAGCACACTATAAAAGGAATAGGGTTCCATTTGGAACACACTCAGAGACAGACTATAGTAATCAGGTCATCAAGTAAAGTTATTAAATGTTTATTAGCTAGCTCCAACATGCATGGCCGCATAGAAATGTACTGTATGACCGAATGAAATTATAAGACTTGCATTTATATTCTTTTAAAGTTGTTTGTTTGGCTTACCTTGGAAACATTCCATTTCTATTTCTCCTCTGTGGTATGTTTAAGCGCGGTGCATAAATATTTATATTAATCTACCTAGGGCCCCTATCTGGCCTAGCTAGTGTTTTCACCATAGCCACTGGAGAACGGGCCTATTGGTTGGAGGAGGAGGAATATATTGGGGGATAATGTTGAATATTTGCCATAGTTTGCATGTTTCTCAGTTGAAAGTTGGACTGTTTGTGTGTTAATGTTTATGCAAGAGATGCAGTTTTAAAATATAAATTAATTTAAATGTGCTACAATACCCCCCACCTCATACTGTTTTGTTCTTGTCACAAATGTTCCTGAGGAGAGATTACTCTCATCAATTTGAGTGTTGTTCGGCTGCAGAATTTTGACATAAACCAAAAAGTGTGTGTGTGTGTGCTTCATATGCGTGCATGCACCCATGCGCATCAATGTGAAATGCATAAAATCAATGACATTTCCTATTCCTCCCTAAACCAGGTTGGTGACACATCTGTATGTTGGTGAGATTATGCATTCATCCCCTTCCTCTCTAGTTGTCACTATGGTCTCACCTGCTGGCTGCCTCCATGCCGTCCTATCAACGTATCAGGCAGGGTGATGTCAAGCACACCGAGCCCAAAGCCCTGCCATGCTCGGCAGCCTGCGGCGGTAAGGTGTGTGTGAGAGAGAGAGCGCTTCTGTGTGTGTGTGTGTGCATGCGGAGCCACATGCCACTAGGCTAATTAGAGGGCTCTTAACTCTGTCAAAGTCATTTGATGACAATGATGTGGGAGATTGATATTCACGCTTGACTCACCCATCTTCTCTCTCTCCACCTGAGTGCTTGCTGTTGTGTTGTTTACTTTCCTACACAATTAGCATCTGATTGTTGATGGTTGGGGACTGAGTGAAGAGGTCTCACTGTGCAACCTGATGATTAGGAGGTTGGAGGAATATGCCTCTGGCCTCAATGTCACCGGCAACATACTTCATGTTGCATAAAAATACCATTAAACCCACCATAAAATTATAGGTTAATACTGTGCTCTTTCATTCTGTGGTAAAAAAACAACAATATCTTCTCTGAACATGTGGTCCTCAGTTGGTAAAGCATGGCGCTTGTAACGCCAGGGTAGTGGGTTCAATTCCCGGGACCACCCATAAGTAAAAGGTATGCATACATGACTATGTCGCTTTGGATATTATATTATGTGAAATCCATGCACGGTATTGCAGTGTCTTAATTAAAATGTACATATCATAAAGCTATATAATGGTTTCTATTATATACCCTATGATTAGACCTGGCTTCATCTGTGTAGTATGATGTGAGAGTAGAGTAAGCCTCAGTCTGCATTCTAAATGGCACCCTATACCCTATGTCGTCCTGTTGTATCCTGTACAAGTGACGAATAAACTTTGATTTGATGTAGGAAATAGGGTGCCAATATACATTAACATTTATAAAAATGGTATACCATCTGTTGACATGTCTGCTATTTGTACAAGCTGCACGTTAAACAAGCTGACTCTCCAGCACACCTAACATAGTTGATTGAGGGATCTGTCTTATGCCAGGGATCATGCCTTCTAATTTTTTTATGGAGCCACAGCGCCCCTATGTGAACAGTGTTAGAATGACACCCCATATGAATCAAGCGATATCCCATGCCTCCACAAATCCAATGCTTTTAGATTTGTGGGAAGTAGTGAATGAGTGCACATTTCAGGAGAAAGGTTAATATTATTGGGACGAACCGTCTGTTTGAATGAGCATCCTGCCTTCCTTGAAGTTATCACTGATCTCAAAATAGCTCAATTGGTAGAGCATGGCGCTTGTAACGCCAGGGTAGTGGGTTCGAATCACTGATCCAGCACTAAGGTAAAAAGGAGAGAATTTTAACAGTATTCAAACAAGGCATTACTGTCCGATTCTAACCTTGCATAAGAGTCAGGAAAGCAAGCATCGTCTGGTCATCTGGGGTTGACAGGATGGAAACTGGGTCTTCCAAAGCTGCCTGTCCTCCATTGCAGACGCAATCTCATCCTTCAATCTGGTGTCGCTCCTGAGCTGGTCCATATGTGATCTCTGGCCGTCAATACTGCTGAAAGTGACTCAAATGTAAAATGAAAGAGGCATGTCATCAGTAATGTGTACAGTACTGTTGAAAGATAGATTGTATCATAATAACAGACGACATTGCTCATATTGATTTTATATCCTTGTCTTTTTATTATCTGTGTCTTGATAAAAAGGAAGGAAACAGTCCCAGCAATAGACCTGATAAAAAAAAGAAATCTACTAAGTATAAAAGAAAGTATCCAAAACGACGAAATGCTACCCAGAAAAACAATATAAAAAAGAATGTTGTGAAGTCTAAACCGTCAAAATTACCCAGAAGTAACTAAGAAAAAACGCAACCCAAGGATTCACCACAAAATGAGCCAATAACCACTATAAACGCTTACATGATTCTCCAAATATAAAGTAATGGAAATACTTTACAATAAATAACAGGCACATCTTCCTATGTCTGCAATAAAGGTCCTAGAAGTAAGTAAGAGTCAAATTCATGATGTAAAAAATACATTTGTAACAAATCAAAGTATAAAATAATCTGGGCGGCAAGTTTTTTGGTTTCTTGAGAACAACGCACTTTTGGTTTCCATAACAACAAAACACTTCCCAACCAGTAAGCATCTGAAGTTTACAGATATATATATTCAATCATATATAAATAAATTATGTACGAACAAAAATATAGTACAACTATCGTTAAAAAAAAAGTCATTACAAAAGGACTAATGCCAAAGGGAAGCTTATATTTTATAAACTCCAATAACTTAAAAAATTAAATATAATTTTTTTAATGAAATACTTTCGGGAAAAAAAGTTAGTTTTAGGCCCATTATTTTACACTGCTAAGGCTTTTTACACTGGTCTTATTTTCACAGCACTTGGAAATACCACACCGTAGTGCTTACATAATTCACCAAAAATGATAAATACCAATAAGAAAATCCATTGTACAGTACCAATTTATTTCAATCTACAAAATAACTTAAGTGTGTCAGACAAATATTGCCGTTATTTACAGAGTTAATTTAAATACATAGTAGGTAGTTTTGAGTGGAAATAAATGGCGTATGGTGAGATGAGTGAGGCGAGGAAGAAGCAGCCATCTTGGCAGTGGCATGGTCATAGGGCATAGAGAAGGAGGATCATGGCAGCAGTCTTGCAGCACAGTCATGGGTTCATGTTCATTATGGAACACAACAGGAAACGTATCAAAATGTTTTGAAACAGAAAACGAAATGAGCGTTTCTTATTAGGCAAGTCCATGTAACCCTCCCGGTTTCAATTTGTGTTCTTCCATTTAGTGCCTCATGAACACGACCATGGAGAAAGGTAGATAGGAGGTTAACTCGGGCACATTCATTAAAGCAGCAGCCGTCAGACCAGCGGGCGGGGGCTGACGGGGAAGGGGGTACCATACCAAGCCAGGGGGGAAGCCAGGCACCTGGTAAACACAGCCAGCATAGAAGGAAGGAGCGTAGGCTAGGCTCAGGTCCGGGACAAGGCCATGAGCAGTAATTCAGGGTTGTGTGTGTGTGTGTGTGTGTAAGTAATGGAGAGTAAGTGCGTGTGTGTGTGCGTTAGTCCACATCGCTCATGTCGCTGACAGGTTCGTCCTGGACGATGCTAAGGTGGTTCATGGCACGTTTGAAGGCCGTCTGAACAGCCTTACGGATGCTGGACGTTCTGCCCTCCATCATCTTGATCTTGTCGATGGTCTTGTCTATCCCCAGAGGGACCATCTTAGACTTAGGAAGCCATTGCCTGAGAAGAGAGAAGAATTAAATCAAATTCACAGTTACATTTCTTCTGATACAAATCTGCAAAAATGTAACACTTCTAATACAAATTTGAGTTATCTGTGTTGTCTGTTGGTTGTGTATGAAAATGGCATGTATTGAAATAACACTTAATATTGCAAATGTGGATAGTAAAATGGTGTATCCATGTATGTTGCTAGCAACAACAACAAAAAGTCAATTTCATAGCATTTAGTATTGGAGAAGAACAGAGAAGATGTGTCTCACCAGCTGCGTTTGTTGTCGAAGAATAGGACGAGGAAGAGTTTTCCTTCGTTCTTGTACTGCATCCGTTCTCCGACCCGGAGGACGTTGAGGGGGGGCATGGGGATAGACACCCCGTTGTGCTGGCACCCCACCCGGGGCATGTGGGGGTCGACGATCTAACGTGGTGGGAGAGGTGTACCAGGGTTACTAGGGGGTGGTGTCTGGGGTGTTATGACACAGTATACTTGCATACACATAGACGTGCACTGCACACACGCGCAAACACACACACGCTCAAACGCACACAGCTGGTGCTTGTGATGAAAAGAGGTGCATCCACTTAGTCCTCTCAAACTAAAGGTCAAATCAGACCTGTTTATTTGACAATGGCGCCATCTAGAGGACTTGGAAGATATGGACCTAGGTTTTAAGTGAAAGACAAAACATTGTAGGGTGTGTGTGGGTGTGTTACCTCTCAAACAGCTAGTGTGTCTTGTGTGTGTGAACGTCACTCAATCAATACGATGAAAGGGGTAGCAAGCAGGGCCTAAAATGAACACCCACCAAATAAGGGTCGATTTTGGCATTGGCGTGTAAGAATTTCTAATTCACCAGCCACATTGTTCAAAAGTCAAGTATGGGCACATGTGCGAGTAGTGATTTATAGCAAAATAAATGCTGCAGTAGCTGTTTTCAAAGTATTTCTGCCGTTTTGTTTCATATCTGGTAATGCACAAAGAAATAGGAATCCTAACATTTTAGCTATCTCACCTCGCGAAGCAACACTGCCTGGCTGGAGGGCTGTGTGCACTGCGAGTGAAGAGCTGAATAGGTTTGTTTTTAGAAGCAATGGGAACAGGCATAAAAGGTGGTCTAACTACTACAGTGAGACTTTATCCTCGTGTTTCTAAGACATTTACATTGTTTTGTTCACAAATTAGATTGTTTTTCAATGTGTGAGTTTGCTTCCACTGCTAGCGAAGAGACGTAGTCAGCCTCTACTAGTCAGATTCAAACAGGCACACTAGAATCGATTCCTCGACTCCTTGCCCGTCGACTCCCATTTCTGGGTGTCAAGCTTCGATTCCGCTAGGAATCGACTCCTAAGATTCAGTATTTTGCGGTAGTCTACTTCCGAGAGGGGCACAGCCAGGCATGTTGGCCACCAGGCAGACAGTCAGAATCGTGCATCGGTAATCAAAAGATGTATAGGCTATCGCAATGCTGTGTCTTGCAATTTCTTGGCTTGCAATGTCTTGCGTAAATTCACTAATAGGAGCAATAAATGAGTAGACTGAGTTATTCTACACAAAACAGACTGAAGATCAAACACACGCTAGTGTTTTTCATAGCGAAGAGAAAGAGCAGGCGAGCCAGTGAGGGAGAGAGTGGATCGGGGCAGGCAGACTGTCGGAACCGTGCGCATATGCTATATCTTGGTAATCTGTATATCGCAATGTCTTGTCTTGCAATGCCTTGTAAATTCACCAAAAGTACAATAAAGTATATATTAGTCTATCAATGACTATGACTAAGCTATTCTTCATTGTGGCTGTGAAATGAAGTTGAACATCGCCAAATGCATCAGTTTAATTAGGCCTAAATGTGCAATGACAAGTATTGTGCCTATAGCTTATTTAATGAAACCCTGGCTGGCTGTTGATGTCCTAGGTCAAGACTCTCCAACCCTGTTCCTTGAGAGCTACCTTCCTGTAGGTTTTCGATCAAAAGCCAGTTGTAACTAACTTGTTTCAGGTTATCAACCAGCTAATTATCTAATCAGATGCGCTAGATTAGGGTTGGAGTGAACACCTACAGGACAGTACCTCTCCAGGAATAGGGTTGGAGAGCCCTGTCCTAGGCAATAGATCGCAAAGCAAGGCATCCCCACTAAACCTGGAAATGACAAGTTCACTTTCTCATCCATAAATGCATCTCAAATGCAAATACGGTTCAGCAGCTCAAATCAACAGGATTTGCATTGTTTTTAGGAAGGCCGCCTACAATGGATCACTAAAATAATGATTATGATCACACTTAATCAATTTAAATATTATGGGGACACCTACATTGCCTTCAGAAAATATTCATACCCCTTGACTTTTTCCATGTTGTTGTGTTACAGCCTGAATTCAAAATGGATTTTTTAAAAACATTCTGACGAGGTGAAAACATGTTTTTAGAAATGTTTGCAAATTTATTGACAATGAAATAGATAAATCTCATTTATGTAAGTATTCACACCCCTGAGTCAATACTTTGTAGAAGCACCTTTGGCAGCGATTACAAATGAGTCTTTCTGGGTAAGTCTCTAAGAGCTTTCCACACCTGGATTGTACAACATTTGCCCATTATTGTTAAAAAAATTATTAAAGCTGTCAATTTGGTTGTTGATCATTGCTAGACAACCATTTTCAGAGCAGTCTATTACTAAGGTGGCTGGAGTCTTTGACAATTTTTAGGGCCTTCCTCTGACACCGCCTGGTATAGAGGTCCTGGAAGGCAGGAAGCTTGGCCCCAGTGATGTACTGGGCCATACGCACTACCCTCTGTAGTGCCTTGCGGTCGGAGGCTGAGCAGTTGCCATACCAGGCAGTGATGCAACCAGTCAGGATGCTCTCGATGGTGCAGCTGTAAACCTTTTGAGGATCTGAGGACCCATGCCAAATCTTTTCAGTCTCCTTAGGGGGAATAGGTTTTGTTGTGCCCTCTTCACGACTGTCTTGGTGTGCTTGGACCATGTTAGTTTGTGGGTGATGTGGACACCAAGGAACTTGAAGCTCTCAACCTGCTCCACTACAGCCCTGTCGATGAGAATGGGGGCGTGCTTGGTCCTCTTCTTTTTCCTGTAGTCCACAATCATCTCCTTTGTCTTGATCACGCTGAGGGAGAGGTTGTTGTCCTGGCACCACATGGCCAGGTCTCTGACCTCCTCCCTATAGGATGTCTCGTCGTTGTTCAGGCCTACCACTGTTGTGTCATCAGCAAACGTAATACTGTTGTTGGAGTCGTGCCTAGCCATGCAGTCATGAGTGAACAGGGAGTACAGGAGGGGACTGAGCACGCACCCCTGAGGGGCCCCCGTGTTGAGGATCAGCGTGGTGGATGTGTTGTTACCTACCCTTACCACCTGGGGGAGGCCCGTCAAGAAGTCCAGGATCCAGTTGCAGAGGGAGGTGTTTAGTCCCAGGATCCTTAGCTTAGTGATGAGCTTTGAGGGCACTATGGTGTTTAACACTGAGCTGTAGTAAATTAATAGCATTCTCACATAGGTGCTCCTTTTGTCCAGGTGTGAAAGGGCAGTGTGGAGCGCAATAGAGATTGCATCATCTGTGGATATGCTGGGGCGGTATGCAAATTGGAGTGGGTCTAGGGTTTCTGGGATAATGGTGTTGATGTGAGCCATGACCAGCCTTTCAAAGCACTTCATGGCTACAGGCGTGAGTGCTACGGGTAGGTAGTCATTTAGGCAGGTTACCTTAGTGTTCTTGGGCACAAGGACTATGGTGGTCTGCTTGAAACATGTTGGTATTACAGACTCAGACAGGGAGAGGTTGAAAATGTCAGTCAAGACACTTGCCAGTTGGTCAGCGCATGCTCGGAGTACACGTCCTGGTAATCCGTCTGGCCCTGAGGCCTTGTGAATGTTGACCTGTTTAAAAGGTCTTACTCACATCGGCTACGGAGAGCGTGATCACACAGTCGTACGGAACAGATGATGCTCTCATGCATGTTTCAGTGTTACTTGCCTCGAAGCGAGCATAGAAGTAATTTAGCTCATCTGGTAGGCTCTTGTCTGGGCAGCTCGCAGCTGTGCTTCCTTTTGTAGTCTGTAATAGTTTGCAAGCCCTGCCACATCCGACGAGCGTCGAAGCCGGTGTAGTATGATTCCATCTTAGTCCTGTATTGACGCTTTGCCTGTTTGATGGTTCATTGGAGGGCATAGCGGGATTTATTATAAGCTTCCGGGTTAGAGTCCCGCTCATTGAAAGCGGCAGCTCTACCCTTTAGCTCAGTGCGGATGTTGCCTGTAATCCATGGCTTCTGGTTGGGGTATGTACGTACAGTCACTGTGGGGACAACGTCATCGATGCACTTATTGATGAAGCCAGTGACTGATGTGGTGTACTCCTCAATGCCATCGGAAGAATCCCGGAACATATTCCAGTCTGTGCTAGCAAAACAGTCCTGTAGCTTAGCATCTGCTTCATCTGACCACTTTTTTATTAACCGAGTCACTGGTGCTTCCTGCTTTAGTTTTTGCTTGTAAGCAGGAGGATATAATTATGGTCAGATTTGCCAAATGGAGGGCGAGGGAGAGCTTTGTACACATCTCTGTGTGGAGTAAAGGTGGTCTAGAGTTTTTTTCCCTCTGGTTGCACATTTAACATGCTGGTAGAAATGAGGTAAAACGGATTTAAGTTTCCCTGCATTAAAGTCACCGGCCACTAGGAGCACCACCTCTGGATGAGCGTTTTCCTGTTTGCTTCTGGCCGTATACAGTTCATTGAGTGCGGTCTTAGTGCCAGCATCGGTTTGTGGTGGTAAATAGACAGCTACGAAGAATATAGATGAAAACTCGTGGGAGATAGTGTGGTCTAGAGCTTATCATGAGATACTCTACCTCAGGCGAGCAAAACCTTGAGACTTCCTTAGAAATCGTGCTGTTGTTTACAAATATACATAGACCGCCACCCCTTGTCTTACCAGAAGCTGCTGTTCTATCCTGCCGATACAGTGTATAACCCGCCAGCTGTATGTTATTCATGTCGTCGTTCTGCCACGACTCGGTGAAACATAAGATATTACAGTTTTTAATGTCCCATTAGTAGGATATACATGCTTGTAGTTCGTCCACTTTATTATCAAGAGATTGTACGTTGGCCAATAGTACCGATGGCAAAGGCAGATTAGCCACTCGTCGCCGGCTCCTTACCAGGCACTCCGATCTCCTTCCGCGATATCTCTGTCTCTTTCTACTGCGAATGAAGGGGATGAGGGCCGTGCCGGGTGTCTGGAGCAAATCCCTCTCGTCCGACTCATTAAAGAAAAATTATTCGTCCAGTTCAAGGTGAGTAATCACTGTTCTGATGTCCAGAAGCTCTTTTCGGTCATAAGAGACGGTAGCAGCAACATTATGTACAAAATAAGTTACAAACAATGTGAAAAAAGAAAAGCACGGTTGGTTAGGAGCCCATAAAACGGCAGCAATCCCCTCCGGCGCAACATCAAAAAAATAAAAAATAACACAACAAATGTGGAAAAAGTCAAGGGTTGTGAATATTTTCTGAAGTCACTGTATACATTTGGCAGCCAAGCATGAGTTATCAGTGTAGCCTATTATGGTCTAGACATGACATTGAAATATCTTCACACCTAGAACAAAAACCTCCAGGTTTCCGTCATGAGTCAATTACATTTGGAAAAATAAAGATTTACAGGGGGCAGTTGGGAAAAGTAATCCTGTGTGAATCATCCTCTGGAATAACGCACATGCTTGGATAATAATTACATAACCAAGGTCTCTAGTAATACCCGTCCGAATAGGGCTATAACATGGCAAAGAATGTCCTTATCAGCGTAGGATGCGCAGCATCATCACATGGGATCCGTCAAGGCTGCGCACAGCAGAAATATCACTGAAATATTCTAGTTCCTACACATCACCTTCTATATTCAAACAAAATATGACTTTTATAGGCTAAGTTAATGAACAAATGGGCAGCAATGTTCATGTCAGTCCTCTAGAACGCAAACGTAGTCTTCCTAGTAGGACGCTGCAATAATGAGGTGGTGTGTACGTGTGTGTGCGTCTGTTTGGGAGTCGAGCAAGAGTCGACTCTTTCAACTCCAACCACAGAAGTCAGAGTCGACTCCTAAAATTCTGGAGTCGTGCACCACTAAAGGCATCCGCATGCTTCCCATCCGAAATAGTTTGTGCATATATTATGATGACATTTTGTGACTTTTGTTTGTTTTGGACTTCGGCAAGGGTTTTTTCAGATGTTCGAGCACACAAAACATTTTCACAAGACAAGCCGAAGTCGGTAGCCGAAGTCGGTAGCCGAAGTCTACGCCCCCTCGTCTGCGATTGGTCAACAGTAGGTGTTCTTCAATAAAGTGCCTGTAGTCATTCAACAAGCGACAAAATGTTTCCACTTGAAAAATACTGCACAAAACATCCTAGTCAGATGCAAAATTGCGCAACTAAGATCTCTGCAAAACTTCAAAATTAATGACAGATTTATTGACTAATCTTAGATTAATTCTGACTATTTTGAGGAAGCGTATACTGGCTACGGCGTCTCAAAATGGACAAACAGTACGATTGCTGCTTTTTTCTAGTTTTTCAAGCGAAGGTCTTTTAGGGGAGTATGCGAGCACACTCGTTCGGTTCGCCTAGCCGAGCATGCTGATGCCTTAGGGCACATGTGACGACTTGAGCGGCCCCGTTACCACGGTAGGCTTAAAAGGGGAAGCTGAACATTTGTCTCATCTGTGATATTTTGGTTAAAAGACTCGGGTCACAAAATATTAAATTGAGCAATATCTCACATTACTTCTTATTAGTAATACATTCATTGATTTAGAAACATTGCTAAGCATACTCATCCATTTTGATTTGTGTTTTTTGGTGTAATTAAAGCAACAACAAAAGAATGTTGGCTCCTAAAAAAAATCTGAGTGGCTGGTAGACAAAAAAGTTAGTTGTTGGCCCTGGTAGCAAGCACTGAGAAGTGAGAAGGAGATAGTCAGGTGTCATACACATGCTCACTGTCACTCACCAAGGCAGGATAGGAAGGGTATCCGCTACATTTTGCCCAAACTAGCTTTAGTGGTTCCAGAACAACTGTTGCAGCACTAGCAGGCATCCAAATATTGCTGTTGCCAACTTCTATGGAAGCAGGAATAACAACAATCAAATAAGGAGGGGTTCACTGTAAATAGAGCAAAACACTTCCAGAGCCATGCTAATAGTGACAGCATCAACACACACAGGTTAAAGACGTCACAACTCACTGAAAGACATGACATTACAAAAATAATAAAATTTGGACTGTAAATCATGAATAGAATTGCTTTAATTTATGTTTATCTAGCTTGCATCGTAGTATACTACTCAGGAAAACTCTGGGCTCTGGTTATATCCTAAAGCTAGGGCCAGGAGTTTTGGGGCACATTTTGAGGTACTGTGATTTTACCGGTACTTCCAGCATTGTCCACTAGTGTTGCTGCAGTTAGGAAATCCTTGGAAATGTTCTGTAATTGACACAAGCTGTCTCCAATCAATCAATCAATGTCTGGTTGTGTGTTTGGCAGGGGGGATTGCCTAAGCCAGGGGAGGAATAGCTCTGCAAATATTAAAATCGCACAAAACCTATTATTTGCAGAGAATACTATTTGTAGATCAGTGATTCTACACCTCACTTTGCTCAAGCTGATCCTCTCCAACGGACTTGGAAGTTGTAGCTAAAAATGGGTCAATTAGGGTCAGTAATAATAATAATATGCCATTTAGCAGACGCTTTTATCCAAAGCGACTTACAATCATGTGTGCATACATTTTTACATATGGGTGGTCCCGGGGATCGAACCCACTACCCTGGCGTTACAAGCGCCATGCTCTACCAATTGAGCTACAGAGGACCAAAAGGGGAGAGTCAAAATAACCAACCATGGAAGTATAGTGTAGAACATTCGGGGGGTAGCCCCGACTGGGACTCAAACCTGGATCCAGCGACTGTCAATGGCTTCCCGTGGCTTAGGCGATCCCCCACCAAACACACAACAAGACATTGATTGATTGGAGACAGTTTGTGTCAATTAAATAACATTTCCTAGGATTTTCTACCTGCAGCAAACCTAGTGGATCATGCTGGAAATACCGGTAAAGGAACAGTGCCTCAAAAGCTGCCCCAAAACTCCTGGCCCTATAGCAGTACATCTACTCCTCTGACTCTCAGCCAGACCTCATCTGATACAATACATACAAACACATTTCCGTCTGCAATCTCCACTTTCCTGTATGATTAACATCAACACAGCCAATTTACCTGCAGCAATCCTAGCAGCTCTGGCAAAGTTCCCGGTTTCTATAGAGGCAATGAGCTCATTCTTATCATCCACAGTGTTTCTTCGGACCAGGGCCGGTTTGCCCTTACCACATGTTGGAAGACTGAGGGTGCTGCTGAAATCAGGAAAAGACATCCACACTGTATGTGAGTCAGACTGCCTTCTACATGACACACTACAGAGAAATTACCAGACTACATAGTTGAACTACCAAGTACCACCAACCATGTTCAGCAGTGAAAAGTGCAGCAGCTAGAGACGCCTAGCCTATGTTGCTTTGAGCGTTTGATTTGAGCCTGCCTGCGTTTCTACAGTTGGGACTACTCTAGTGGTTCCATTGTGCCAGGCGGGCTCAATTAAGCTCAGTTTAAGTAATTGAAAGACAACTAATTCTATTTGAACCCAGGTCTGCTGTGAGGTATATGCATGTACCTACCTGGTGCTGCCCAGCAGACTACCACTAGATGACATGCTGGACTCTGAGGCACACCGTCTCCTGGTTTCTAGAGGCTTGCTGGTACCTAGCTCCTTCTCTTCATCAATTACCGCCTCCATCACAAAACCATTAGACAGGCCTGAGGCGAGAAACACAGAGCAGTACAGTAAGTGTACTATACATAAACCAACTATAGCATAAACCTACAGTCGTGGTCAAAGGTTTTGAGAATGACACAAATACTAATTTTCACAAAGTCTGCTGCCTCAGTTTTGATGATGGCAATTTGCATATACTCCAGAATGTCATGAAGTGATCAGATGAATTGCAAAGTCCCTCTTTGCCATGAAAATGACCTTAATCCCCAAAAAAACATGTCCACTGCATTTCAGCCCTGCCACAAAAGGACCAGCTGCCATCATGTCAGTGATTATCTCGTTAACACAGGTGAGAGTGTTGAGTTAGAATAACAGACTGGAAGCTTTAAAAGGAGGGTGGTGCTTGACATCATTGTTCTTCCTCTGTTAACCATGGTTACCTGCAAGGAAACACATGCCATCATCATTGCTTTGCACAAAAAGGGCTTCACAGGCAAGGATATTGCTGCTAGTAAGATTGCACCTAAATCAACCATTTATCGGATCATCAAGAACTTCAAGGAGAGAGGTTCAATTGTTGTGAAGAAGGCGTCAAGGCGCCCAAGAAAGTCCAACAAGCGCCAGGACCGTCTCCTAAAGTTGATTCAGCTGCGGGATTGGGGCACCACCAGTGCAGAGCTTGCTCAGGAATGTCAGCAGGCAGGTGTGAGTACATCTGCACGCACAATGAGGCAAAGACTTTTGGAGGATGGCCTGGTGTCAAGAAGGGCAGCAAAGAAGCCACTTCTCTCCAGGAAAAACATCAGGGACAGACTGATATTCTGCAAAAGGTACAGGGATTGGACTGTTGAGGACTGGGGTAAAGTCATTTTCTCTGATGAATCCCCTTTCCGATTGTTTGGGGCATCCGGAAAACACCTTGTCCGGAGAAGACAAGGTGAGCGCTACCATCAGTCCTGTGTCATGCCAACAGTAAAGCATCCTGAGACCATTCATGTGTGGGGTTGCTTCTCAGCCAAGGGAGTGGGCTCAATCACAATTTTGCCTAAGAACACAGCCATGAATAAAGAATGGTACCAACACATCCTTCGAGAGCAACTTCTCCCAACCATCCAATAACAGTTTGTTGACGACCAATGCATTTTCCAGCATGATGGAGCACCTTACCATAAGGCAAAAGTGATAACTAAGTGGCTCAGGGAACAAAACATCGAAATTTCGGGTCCATGGCCAGGAAACTCCACAGACCTTAATCCCATTGAGAACTTGTGGTCAATCCTCAAGAGGCGGGTGGACAAACAAAAACCCACAAATTCTGACAAACTCCAAGCATTGATTATGCAAGAATGGGCTGCCATCAGTCAGGATGTGGCCCAGAAGTTAATTGATAGCATGCCAGGGCGGATTGCAGAGGTCTTGAAAAAGAAGGGTCAACACTGCAAATATTGACTCTTTGCATAAACTTAATGTAATTGTCAATAAAAGCCTTTGACACTTATGGAATGCTTGTAATTATACTTCAGTATACCATAGTAACATCTGACAAAAATATCTCATAACACTGAAGCAGCGAACTTTGTGAAGACGAATACTGGTGTAATTCTCAACTTTTGACCAAGACTGTTTAACATTTTGACCTTTTTTCTTAAAGCGTCTCAGAGTAGGGGTGCTGATCTAGAATCAGTTTAGCCTTTCAGATTATAATTAATAAGATTACATGGACAGGGGAACCTGATCTCTTAATTCACAAGTCTGTGAAAATCATTTTCTACTTATTCATGCTCTATTTAACAGTCCCATTAAGATAAGTACTTTATTTTCTGACAAGTGAGAAGAACCCTATTTACCTGTGTCAATGCGTTTGACAGGGGACTCGTCCTCCCCGTCTCCGCCCCCTTCGCTGTCCCCCCCGCTTGGACTGTGGCTCCTCTTCCTGGTCCTGGGGTGGAGGAGGGTCTCCAGCCTGGGGATCATCACCGACAGGAAGGCCTTGGTGCCCAGCTGAGGGCACCCTGTCTGGGCCTCGCCTCCTCCTCTGCCCCCCTGGTTCTTCCCAGGGCTAGAGGTCTTGGACTTCCTGAAGAGCACAGCAGTGCGGCGGTTGACAGTCATCCCCGAGGGTTGGGCTATGGTGGAGGTGGCCACCACACTCACATTCCCCTCCGAGAGAAGCAGGGGGTTCTGGGAGTCAGTGTGGCCATTGAGAAGGGTCTTGGGGGTGGTGGAGGAAGCATTGTTGGGTTTCTCCTGGTCAAATTTGACCTGTCCGTGGGTCTTGCTGTCCAGGGTGGGGTTGGGGTGGATGGGTTTGAGGGTAGGGGGTTCTGAGTTGCTCTCGAAATGCAGGAGAGGAGGTAGGGAGTCAGAGGGTTCCAATTTGGGAGGTAATGATTTGTCCCCTGTTGAAGAATAGGAGAGAATACAGTGAGAAAACGCATAGAAAGCATAACATTATATAGATCACAATGTAATATGAAAATAAGTACTGTATATCTTGCATAAAAACACCAGAACCATTCCTAAAGCACATCATCCTCAGGGTGAAGACTTATTCCTTTCAGAATTACAAGACTTCAATACAAATTATCTTGCCTTCTAGAATGCATAGCTAAATAACCAATGAGACAGCAAAATATATTAAATTACAGCACGCAAAGTATTCTGCATTCTAGAAGTGTAGGTCAGTGTAGGTTTACTGTGAATCAATTCAGGCTCTTAGCATATCAACTCCACTGTACCATGACCATGTTAAAGAGAAAGCCACGCAGATATAATGTATAACTACAATAGTATCCCACTTCAGCAGGCACACTCATTAACCAGGCAAAGGGATGTCCTGAGGCAAGGGATATCATATGATGCAGCTGAACGGGAGAGGACGTGTTTTTCTCTGGCTGGAGGCTACACAAACGCACCACACCGCGTGGCTGCTGCCTCTCCAATTTGGTGGTCCCTGCACGCACCACCCACGTGGAGTTCCAGGTCGCAGGCAGCCTCTGGAACTGCCGTTCTGCTGCCAACAAAGCTGACTTCATCCCAGCCTATGCCAACCTCCAGTCCCTCGACTTCCTGGCGCTGACGGAAACATGGATCACCACTGAAAACACCGCTACTCCTACTGCTCTCTCCTCGTCTGACCATGTGTTCTCGCATACCCCGAGAGCATCTGGTCAGAGGGGTGGTGGTACAGGAATCCTCATCTCTCCCAAGTGGACATTCTCAATTTTTCCCCTAACCCATCTGTCTATCTCCTCATTTGAATTCCATGCTGTCACAGTCACTAGCCCATTTAAGCGTAATATCCTTGTCATCTATCGCCCTCCAGGTTCCCTTGGAGAGTTCATCAATGAGCTTGACGCCTTGATAAGTTCCTTCCCTGAGGATGGCTCACCCCTCACAGTTTTGGGGGATTTCAACCTCCCTATGTCCACATTTGACTCATTTCTCTCTGCCTCCTTCTTTCCACTCCTCTCCTCTTTTGACCTCACCCTCTCACCGTCCCCCCCTACTCACAAGGCAGGCAATACGCTTGACCTCATCTTCACTAGATGCTGCTCCTCTACTAATCTCACTGCAACTCCCCTCCAAGTCTCCGACCACTACAATAGTATCCCACTTCAGCAGGCACACTCATTAACCAGGCAAAGGGATGTCCTGAGGCAAGGGATATCATGAATGATGCAGCTGAACGGGAGAGGACGTGTTTTTCTCTGGCTGGAGGCTACACAAACGCACCACACCGCGTGGCTGCTGCCTCTCCAATTTGGTGGTCCCTGCACGCACCACCCACGTGGAGTTCCAGGTCGCAGGCAGCCTCTGGAACTGCCGTTCTGCTGCCAACAAAGCTGACTTCATCCCAGCCTATGCCAACCTCCAGTCCCTCGACTTCCTGGCGCTGACGGAAACATGGATCACCACTGAAAACACCGCTACTCCTACTGCTCTCTCCTCGTCTGACCATGTGTTCTCGCATACCCCGAGAGCATCTGGTCAGAGGGGTGGTGGTACAGGAATCCTCATCTCTCCCAAGTGGACATTCTCAATTTTTCCCCTAACCCATCTGTCTATCTCCTCATTTGAATTCCATGCTGTCACAGTCACTAGCCCATTTAAGCTTAATATCCTTGTCATCTATCGCCCTCCAGGTTCCCTTGGAGAGTTCATCAATGAGCTTGACGCCTTGATAAGTTCCTTCCCTGAGGATGGCTCACCCCTCACAGTTTTGGGGGATTTCAACCTCCCTATGTCCACATTTGACTCATTTCTCTCTGCCTCCTTCTTTCCACTCCTCTCCTCTTTTGACCTCACCCTCTCACCGTCCCCCCCTACTCACAAGGCAGGCAATACGCTTGACCTCATCTTCACTAGATGCTGCTCCTCTACTAATCTCACTGCAACTCCCCTCCAAGTCTCCGACCACTACTTTGTTTCCTTTTCTCTCTCACTCTCCTCCCACACTACTCACTCTGCCCCTACACAGATGGTAATGCGCCGCCGCAACCTTCGCTCTCTCTCTCCCACTACTCTCTCCTCTTCCATCCTATCATCTCTTCCCTCTGCTCAATCCTTCTCCCTCCAATCTCCTGATTCTGCCTCCTCAACCCTCCTCTCCTCCCTTTCTGCATCCTTTGACTCTCTGTGTCCCCTATCCTCCCGGCCGGCTCGGTCCTCCCCTCCAGCTCCGTGGCTTGATGACTCATTGCGAGCTCACAGAACAGAGCTCCGGGCAGCGGAGCGGAAATGGAAGAAAACTAAATTCCCTGCCGACCTGGCATCTTTTCACTCCCTCCTCTCTACATTTTCTTCATCTGTTTCTGCTGCTAAGGCCACCTTCTACCACTCTAAATTCCAAGCATCTGCCTCTAACCCTAGGAAGCTCTTTGCCACATTTTCCTCCCTCCTGAATCCTCCCCCCCCCCCTCCCCCCCTCCTCTCTCTCTGTGGATGACTTCGTCAACCACTTTGAAAAGAAGGTTGACGACATCCGATCCTTGTTTGTTAAGCCTAATGACACTGCTGGTCCTGCTCACACTGCCCTACCCTATGCTTTGACTTCTTTCTCCCCTCTCTCTCCAGATAAGATCCTGCGACTTGTGACTGCAGGCCGCCCAACAACCTGCCCGCTTGACCCCATCCCCTCCTCCCTTCTCCAGACCATCTCCGGTGACCTTCTCCCCTACCTCACCTCGCTGATCAACTCATCCTTGACCGCTGGCCATGTCCCTTCCGTCTTCAAGAGAGCGAGAGTTACTCCCCTTCTCAAAAAACCAACACTCGACCCCACTGATGTCAACAACTACAGACCAGTATCCCTTCTTTCTTTTCTTTCCAAAACTATTGAGCGTGCCGTCTTTAGCCAACTCTCTTGCTATCTCTCTCAGAATGACCTTCTTGATCCAAACCAATCAGGTTTCAGGACTGGTCATTCAACTGAGACTGCTCTTCTCTGTGTCACAGAGACTCTCCGCACTGCTAAAGCTAACTCTCTCTCCTCTGCTCTTGTCCTTCTAGATCTGTCTGCTGCCTTTGATACTGTGAACCATCAGATCCTCCTCTCCACCCTCTCCGAAATGGGCATCTCCGGCGCGGCTCACTCCTGGATTGCGTCCTACCTGACCGGTCGCTCCTACCAAGTGGCGTGGCGGGAAGCTGTCTCCGCACCACGTGCTCTCACCACTGGTGTCCCCCAGGGATCGGTTTTGGGCCCTCTCCTTTTCTCCCTATACACCAAGTCACTTGGCTCTGTCATATCCTCACATGGCCTTTCCTATCATTGCTACGCTGACGATACACAACTAATCTTCTCCTTTCCCCCTTCTGATCACCAGGTGGCGAATCGCATCTCTGCATGTCTGGCAGACATATCAGTATGGATGACGGATCACCACCTCAAGCTGAACCCTGGCAAGACGGAGCTGCTCTTCCTCCCCGGGAAGGACTGCCCGTTCCATGATCTCGCCATCACGGTAGACAACTCCGCTGTGTCCTCCTCCCAGAGTGCGAAGAGCCTAGGCGTGACCCTGGACAACACCCTGTCGTTCTCCGCCAACATCAAGGCGGTGACCCGCTCCTGCAGGTTCATGCTCTACAACATTCGGAGAGTGCGACCCTGCCTTACACAGGAAGCGGCGCAGGTCCTGGTCCAGGCACTTGTCATCTCCCGTCTGGACTACTGCAACTCGCTGTTGGCTGGGCTCCCTGCCTGTGCCATTAAACCCCTACAACTCATCCAGAATGCCGCAGCCCGTCTGGTGTTCAACCTTCCCAAGTTCTCTCACGTCACCCCCCCTCCTCCGCACACTCCACTGGCTTCCAATTGAAGCTCGCATCCGCTACAAGACCATGGTGCTTGCCTTTGGAGCAGTGAGGGGAACGGCACCCCTGTACCTTCAGGCTCTGATCAGTCCCTACACCCAAACGAGGACAATGCGTTCATCCACCTCTGGCCTGCTGGCTCCCCTTCCTCTGCGGAAGCACAGCTCCCCCTCAGCCCAGTCAAAACTGTTCGCTGCTCTGGCACCCCAATGGTGGAACAAGCTCCCTCACGACGCCAGGACAGCGGAGTCACTCACCACCTTCCGGAGACATTTGAAACCCCACCTCTTTAAGGAATACCTGGGATAGGCTAAAGTATTCCTTCTAACCCCCCCCCCCCCCCAAATTGTAAAGTGGTTATCCCACTGGCTATAGGGTGAACGCACCAATTTGTGAGTCGCTCTGGCTAAGAGCGTCTGCTAAATGACGTTAATATGCCCTTGAGCAAGGCACTTAACCCTAATTGCTCCTGTAAGTCGCTCTGGTTAAGAGCGTCTGCTAAATGACTAAAATGTAAATGTAAATGTATATGACCTAGCATGAACACCAGACTACGTAGTAGCAGGTTAGCATGGCTAAGCATACTATATGGTATGATAGCATGACTTACTTGGGGTTAGAGGTTACAGTTAAATCCTGATCTAGCTTGAGTTTAAATCTAGTTTCCGCCAATAAAACAAAGGACTGAGAAGCACATGACATCCTGACACCAGGTCACTGGGGATATCCGAGTGCTTGGCCAAAGTCAGGTCCTCCCTCTCCCGTCCTGATGCTGAAACCCTCATACATGCATTCATCCCCTCCAGTCTTGACTACTGCAACTCACTACTCTCCGGCATCAACTCAAGCGCCTTCCATAAACTCCAAATGGTTCAAAACTCAGCAGCCCGACTTCTCACCCACACTAAGCCCTGGCAGCACATCACCCATGTCCTCTGTGAACTCCACTGGCTCCCTGTCTCCCAACAAATTAATTACAAGATCCTTCCTCTGACCTACAAAGCCCTTCACCACCCTGCCCCCTCTTACCTCTCAGACCTTCTTCTCCCCTACCAAACCACACGCGCAATCTGTTCCACCACAACAGGCCACCTTGCCATCCCAGGTCAAAACTAGAGAGCTTCAGCGAAAAGGCCTGCTTCAGGGTTGCTCCTAGGCTCTGGAACTCCCTCCAGCCATCCGTGACTGAGTCCATCACCATCTTTCAGTCCCTCCTAAAGCACCACCTCTTTGACAGGGTCTACCCCTCTCCTTTATGGCAAATATTTATATAATAAACCGATGATACTATAAACCGATGATATGCTATGTTGTACTACCACTACGACGTGGAAAAGCATAGGCAGATGCTGGATGCTGATGAGCCTGATGCAAATTTCCAACAAATATCGAGGGTTTTATTTGAATGCTGGTGACATGATGATCGATGCTTGGCTGCCAATTATCAAACAAAAATGATATTGCTCTTATTCATATCTCATTATATAACCTAACCTGTACACTATCAGTTAACTGTTGTTTAGAGAGCATGTGCCAAAACAAGTTTGCTTAATATCGCAACAGTGTTTGTGACAAAACCATCAGTCGATTTTAAAATGCGATAGAAACACATTGAACTTTAGATTTTTATTCGGTACATGAAAAGTGCCTTTTATGTGCACTACATCGTCGCACACATCCCCCCCCCCCCACCCCCACCCACACCCACACCCCACAACGTCAGTTTGATGGAAACACACTGGTGGAAAATTTGAATATTTTCTTTATGCAGATTTTAGAATATTTGCATGAAAATCAGTCACAAATTAGATGGAAACCTAGCTACTGTCTGACTTGGCCATGCTGAAGAGAGAGCCACCCTGCCAGAAGCCATAGATATCACTACAGAGGCTCCAAGAAATCCAGAACAGTGCTGCCAGGGTCCTGACCAGGACCAAGAAGTCATACCAAATCACCCCGATCCTGGCCCAACTCCACTGGCTACCGATCAACTACAGGATCGACTTCAAAATCGTCATGCTTGTATTTAAAGCCTTGAATGGATTGAGCACCACCTACATCAGCGACCTCATCTCAATCAACGAGCCACCTCGGACTCTCCGCTCAAGCCACTCCCTACTACTTCAAGTCCCCAAGACACATCTCCGAACTATGGGGGACCGAGCCTTCTGCTCCCTTGCCTCTATGGAATGCTCTCCCTGACCCACTTCTACAGACTTTCTTTTTAACAGTCTTAGTGCCAATCTAAAATGTATTTAGCACCTAGCCCACTATTGCTATTTTACCTGCCTTGATTCTAAATATATGTTGTACATTTGTATTGTATATAATGTTATTTTTTTCCTCCATAGAGCTTTGACATAACTATGTAATGAAAAGCGCTATAAATATTAAATTATTATTAATTATTAATATTATTATTATTATTATTATATATTGGGTTCTCCAATGCAGATAAAGTAACAACTTGAAAAAACCTACCCTCGTTATCAGGGCTCTGTCCATTGGTCTTCACCCCCTCTGCCTCCCCAGCTTTACTCCTTTCTGGATGGGAGGACCAGAGGGAGGAAGAGGAGTGAGAATGGGAGTGGTGGGAGGCCCTCCTCAGGCTGAGGCTCATCTCGATGCGCACGTCGTTGATGCTCTTCTTGAGCAGTTTGAGGCGTTTGGAGCGTGACGGGCTGGACTTCATGGAGAACGTCAGGTCCAGTTTCTCCAGCAGCTCTTTCAGCTGCTCCTCCAGAGGCATGTGCTGCCGGTTGGCTGGGACCAATAACCGGTCCACTGGGAAATGACAACAAGATAACACAGTCATTGGGAGACATTTGCTTGATGTTAACTAAACAATGAGTAGCCTAGGTAAGTAGAATTATATTGAAGATCCAGATTAATCAAACTCCTAGACAAAAATGCTCAAAGGAGCGAGTCAATTGATAGTGCTTCTTAGACCAGGAATATGCTTTATACAGTGAGGGAAAAAAAGTATTTGATCCCCTGCTGATTTTGTACGTTTGCCCACTGACAAAGAAATGATCCATCTATAATTTTAATGGTAGGTTTATTTGAACAGTGAGAGACAGAATAACAACAAAAAAATCCAGAAAAACGCATGTCAAAAATGATATAAATTGATTTGCATTATAATGAGGGAAATAAGTATTTGACCCCCTCTCAATCAGAAAGATTTCTGGCTCCCAGGTGTCTTTTATACAGGTAACGAGCTGAGATTAGGAGCACACTCTTAAAGGGAGTGCTCCTAATCACAGTTTGATACCTGTATAAAAGACACCTGTCCACAGAAGCAATCAATCAATCAGATTCCAAACTCTCCACCATGGCCAAGACCAAAGAGCTCTCCAAGGATGTCAGGGACAAGATTGTAGACCTACACAAGGCTGGAATGGGCTACAAGACCATCGCCAAGCAGCTTGGTGAGAAGGTGACAACAGTTGGTGCGATTATTCGCAAATGGAAGAAACATAAAAAGAACTGTCAATCTCCCTCGGCCTGGGGCTCCATGCAAGATCTCACCTCGTGGAGTTGCAATGATCATGAGAACGGTGAGGAATCAGCCCAGAACTACACGGGAGGATCTTGTCAATGATCTCAAGGCAGCTGGGACCATAGTCACCAAGAAAACAATTGGTAACACACTACGCCGTGAAGGACTGAAATCCTGCAGCGCCCCGCAATGTCCCCCTGCTCAAGAAAGCACATATACAGGCCTGTCTGAAGTTCGCCAATGGACATCTGAATGATTCAGAGGAGAACTGGGTGAAAGTGTTGAAGTCAGATGAGACCAAAATGGAGCTCTTTGGCATCAACTCAACTCGCCGTGTTTGGAGGAGGAGGAATGCTGCCTATCACCCCAAGAACACCATCCCCAACGTCAAACATGGAGGTGGAAACATTATGCTTTGGGGGGGGGGGGTTCTGCTAAGGGGACAGGACAACTTCACCGCATCAAAGGGACGATGGACGGGGCCATGTACCGTCAAATCTTGGGTGAGAACCTCCTTCCCTCAGCCAGGGCATTGAAATTTGTTCGGGGATGGGTATTCCAGCATGACAATGACCCAAAACACACAGCCAAGGCAACAAAGGAGTGGCTCAAGAAGAAGCACATTAAGGAGCTGGAGTGGCCTAGCCAGTCTCCAGACCTTAATCCCATAGAAAATCTGTGGAGGGAGCGGAAGGTTAGAGCTGCCAAACGTCAGCCTCGAAACCTTAATGACTTGGAGAAGATCTGCAAAGAGGAGTGTGACAAAATCTCTCCTGAGATGTGTGCAAACCTGGTGGCCAACTACAAGAAACGTCTGACCTCTGTGTTTGCCAACAAGGGTTTTGCCACCAAGTACTAAGTCATGTTTTGCAGAGGGGTCAAATACTTATTTCCCTCATTAAAATGCATATCAATTTATAACATTTTTGACATGCGTTTTTCTGGATTTTCTTGTTTGTTATTCTGTCTCTCACTGTTCAAATAAACCTACCATTAAAATTATAGACTGATCATGTCTTTGTCAGTGGGCAAACGTACAAAATCAGCAGGGGATCAAATACATTTTTCCCTCACTGTAAATGTGGATCTGTGCAAACACTGCTGTCCGTTCCAGTATTCTATATTGACTCATTTATCCATTATATTTCTACAAATACTTCTACGGCCCTCTCAGTCTCTCTTTACCATCCTCCCAGGAAAACGGCGGAGGCGCTTCGATCTTGGGCGGTTCGGGCAGGTGCATCCCGCTGTCCTTCTCGAAGCCGATTCGCTCCACATCCCTCCGCGTCTTCCTGATCAAAGCACCACCCTGGTCTCTGAGACGGGCGGCCGCCCGGTGGAAGAAGGTATCCTTATTGTTGTACTTCATGCAGTTGAAGATGATGAGGTTGAAGTCGGACTCAAAGTCGTCCAGGTTGCTGTAGGCCTGGTCGTCAATGCGTTTCCTCATAGTGGAGAAGTCCATGGGGTTCTTGATGTGGTCAAGGTAGTCAGGCACCTACAGGTTTAATGATAGACAGAGATATAAAAACATCTGATTGTCGGCGCCTACAAGGCATTGAGATGTAGATGTAAAATCCACAGTCTGATATTTTTTTATTTTAAAATCAGCCCAAATGAGATGGGCCAAATGCTATGCTAGGAGGAGAATGAAGAATGTAGATATAAATCTAGTAAAGAAAACAAAACAGAATCATGAAAGTTTAAAAAAGAATAACGTGAAAGGGCATAAGCAGCATCTCAACTCTAGTCTGGCTGACACCATACTTCTGACTTCAGAGTCTGGAGAGGCTGTTTGATGTTCGGGTTAATGAAGTTGATAATGAAGGCGACTGTGCTTTATACTGCTTGGTTCACCTCTGTGTCCTTCTTCCTCAAACACCCACATGTACAGCCACACACACCCCCCTGAGCGCCGCCCCCTTCCATTATAACTGTTGGATTTTTAAATCCAAAACAACAAGAGGTTTAAACTCTCCAGGGGGGAAAAAAACATTTGAGAGAACCAATAAAAGCTTGATCAATTTCTGGCCGAATATTAATTATCAAACAGACTCCTGTCCAGACCAGCGCCTCTCCCTCGCTGTGCACCACACGAGTCGCGTCAACAAGGATATCTCAACTCTCCATCATCTCAGGCCGTACGCACATGTTATAGTAAGAGCTGTTCTCCTAGCCATGGTGAGTAAGCCTTACCTCTTTGATGTCGACAGGATGGGCAAAGACCTTGGCCTGGTCTCTCTCCTGTAGCTGTTCCAGCACAGACCTGAGCAGGATACTGAAGGGAGTCAGCTGGACCTCCAACAGGCTCTGCTGCAGCTTCATCTGAGGACACACAGGGGACCATTAGCATCATCATGTACTGTATATGGCTGCTGAACCATGGAGGGAGAGAGACTGAGACAGAGAGAGGATGAGGGGGCTACAGCTCCAATTTATACTATACTACTAATTGTCTTATAGTTGGCTTGTGAGCTACAGTACCAGTCAAAAGTTTGGACACACCTACTCATTCAACGATTTCTTTATTTTTACTATTTTCTACATTGTAGAATAATAGTGAAGACATCGAAACTATGAAATAACACATATGGAATCATGTAGTAACCAACAAAGTGTTAAACGAATCAAAATATATTTTATATTTGAGATTCTTCAAATAGCCACCCTTTGCCTTGATGACAGCTTTGCACACTCTTGGCATTCTCTCAACCAGCTTCATGAGGTAGTCACCTGGAATGCATTTCAATTAACAGGTGTACCTTCTTAAAAGTTCATTTGTGGAATGTCTTTCCTTCTTAATCAGTTGTGTTGTGACAAGGTATGGGGTGGTGTACAGAAGATAGCCTTTTTTGGTAAAAGACCAAGTCCATATTATGTAAGAACAGCTCAAATAAGCAAAGAGAAACGACAGCTATCATTACTTTAAGACATGAAGGTCAGTCAATATGGACAATTTCAAGAACTTTTAAAGTTTCTTCAAGTGCAGTCGCAAAAACCATCAAGCGCTATGATCAAATCAAATCAAATTTTATTGGCCACATGCGCCGAATACAACAAGTGTAGACATTACAGTGAAATGCTTACTTACAGCCCTTAACCAACAATGCATTTATTTCTTAATAAAAAAAAGTAAAATAAAACAACAAAAAAGTGTTGAGAAAAAAAGAGCAGAAGTAAAATAAAATAACAGTAGGGAGGCTATATATACAGGGGGGGTACCGGTGCAGAGTCAATGTGCGGGGGCACCGGCTAGTTGAGGTAATATGTACATGTGGGTAGAGTTAAAGTGACTATGCATAAATAATTAACAGAGTAGCAGCAGCGTAAAAAGATGGGGTGGGGGTGGGGGGGCTGTGCTAATAGTTTGGGTAGCCATGATTAGCTGTTCAGGAGTCTTATGGCTTGGGGGTAGAAGCTGTTGAGAAGTCTTTTGGACCTAGACTTGGCACTCCGGTACCGCTTGACGTGTGGTAGCAGAGAGAACAGTCTATGACTAGGGTGGCTGGAGTCTTTGACAATTTTGAGGGCCTTCCTCTGATACCGCCTGGTATAGAAGTCCTGGATGGCAGGAAGCTTGGCCCCAGTGATGTACTGGGCCGTACGCACTACCCTATGTATGATGAAACTGGCTCTCATGAGGACCGCCACAGGAATGGAAGACCCAGAGTTACCTCTGCTGCAGAGGATAAGTTCATTAGAGTTAACTGCACCTCAGATTGCAGCCCAAATAAATGCTTCACCGAGTTCATGTAACAGAAACATCTCAACATCAACTGTTCAAAGGAGACTGCGTGAATCAGGCCTTCATGGTCGAATTGCTGCAAATAAACCACTACTAAAGGACACCAATAAGAAGAAGAGACTTGCTTGGGCCAAGAAACACGAGCAATGGACATTAGATCGGTGGAAATCTCTCCTTTGGTCTGATGAGTCCAAATTTGAGATGTTTGGTTCCAACCGCCATATCTTTGTGAGATGCAGAGTAGGTGAACGGATGATCTCCGCATGTGTGGTTCCCACCATGAAGCATGGAGGAGGAGGTGTGTGGGTGTGCTTTGCTGGTGACACTGTCAGTGATTAATTTAGAATTCAAGGCACACTTAACCAGCATGGCTACCACAGCATTCTGCAGCGATACGCCATCCCATCTGGTTTGTGCTTAGTGGGACTATAATTTGTTTTTCAACAGGACAATGACCCAAATCACACCTCTAGGCTGTGTAAGGGCTATTTGACCAGGGTTATTTGACCAAGGAGAGTGATGGAGTGCTGCATCAGATGACCTGGCCTCCACATTCACCCGACCTCAACCCAATTGAGATGGTTTGGGATGAGTTGGACCGCAGAGTGAAGGAAAAGCAGCCACAAGTGCTCAGCATATGTGGGAACTCCTTCAAGACTGTTGGAAAAGCATTCCTCATGAAGCAGCTTGAGAGAATGCCAAGAGTGTGCAAAGTTGTCATCAAGGCAAAGGGTGGCTACTTTGAAGAATCTAAAATGTAAAATATATTTTGATTTGTTTAACACTTTTCTGGTTACTACATGCTTCCATATGTGTTACTTCATAGTTCTGATGTCTTCACTATTATTCTACTATGTAGAAAACATTAAATTTAAATAAAAACCCTTGAATGAGTAGGTGTCCAAACTTTTGACTGGTACTGTATATGTATGTATTGTTGGCTTGCAGGGACAGCTTCAGTTATCTAACCTACCTCTTCTCTCTTGAGTTTCTCCCTCTTGCGTATGAGCTCCAGCAATAGCCTGGCTCTCTCCAGGTCATGTCTTAGACGATGCCACTCCTTTAGCTGCTCCTTCAGAGCCCGGCTCACCTCCTCACTCTCCTTCTGTGGTGGGAATCACACACATCAGGATTTAGAAAACATCGCAGACATGTACAGTTAAAAAACAATATCACCAATATTAGGGTTAGAAAACAGTAGAATTGTAATCCAACAGTGGAGCTCTCATTTATATAAACAATCATATGCCTCTGGGTAGTTTTGGCCAGTTCTCGTTGACATTGCTACGGTAATAAGGAGAGTGGAATGTTATAATGATAGGAGTGTGAGAGAGAATGGAGTGTACCAGCCAGGGGACGAGAATTGTGTCAGAAACAGGGGGACAAGAGTCTGACTGACCGGCTGTGCAGCATGGGTCTTCTGGTGGGACTGTTGGCTGGACTGTAGTCGTCTGATGAGGGGTACTCCGTTCCTCGCCTGTCTCTTTAGAGTCCAGTAGTTTAGAGCCAGCTCCACAAACACTTTCTTCTTCTGCATAGACACCCGGTTGAGGATGGTGTTTAACCTGGGAACAGATGGAGAAGATAGGAACGATTTTTAAATGTTGCTTATTGAAGTAAGGAAAATGTCAATTTTTTCACTTTATGTCCTGACCTTCTCTTTTGCTTAACAGGGCCTGAAACTAACTTGTTGGTCCACCAGCCACTGTGGCAGGTAGATTTAAAAATCTTTCTTACCAGATATATTTTTTGGGGTGCATAATTACACCACAAGACGGATGAGCATGCTTTGTAATGTTTCTAAACACAATAAATGTATTACTAGTAAGAAGTGATGTGGTATATTGCTCAATGTTATTTCATTATTTGTGACTGGAGTCTTTTAACCAAAATATCACAGATGAGACAAAAATGTTCAGCTGTCCCTGAGTGGCGCAGTGGTCTAAGGCACTGCATCGCAGTGCAAACTGTGCCACTAGAGATCCTGGTTCGAATCCAGGCTCTGTCGCAGCCGGCCGCGACCGGGAGACCCATGGGGCAGCGCACAATTGGCCCAGCGTCGTGGAGGGAATGGCCGGCAGGGATGTAGCTCAGTTGATAGAGCATTGCGTTTGCAACGCCAGGGTTGTGGGTTCAATTCCCACGGGGGGCAAGTATAAAAAATATATATATGTATTCACTAACTGTAAGTCGCTCTGGATAAGAGCGTCTGCTAAATGACAAAAAAAAAAAAAAGGGTGGGAGTTTACCATGGCAACGAGGACACTGCTTGAGTCCAGTGTGCCTGTGAGATAGAGAATCTGACTAGTAGCCAATGTGGTCTTCGCTAGCAGTTCTTTGTGTGATTAGCTACCAGCTATGAAACAGCAGATACAGCAGCATTTATTTTTCTATAAATGTGCTCATACTTTACTTCTAACTCTATTTTTATTCACGAATGCGAGTGAAATGCTTGCACCGTGGAGCCCTTACAATTTTTTGGGGGGGAGGGAGGGGTCAAGGTGAGGAGGAGGATTATATAAGATACTGTTTGAAGAGGTAGGGTTTCAGATGTTTTCGGAAGATGGGCAGGGCCTCTGCTGTCCTAGCTTCAGGGGGAAGCTGGTTCCGCCATTGGGGTGCCAGGACAGAGAAGAGCTTGGACTGGGCTGAGCGGGAGCTGCCCTCCGGTAGGGGTGGGAGGGCCAAGAGACCTGAGTTGGCAGGACAGAGTGCTCGGGTCTAGGGTTTGAGCATAGCCTGAAGGTAGGGAGGGGCAGTTCCTCTTTGCTGTTCCATAGGTAAGCACCAATGTCTTGTAGTGGATGCAAGCTTCAACTGGAAGCCAGTGGAGTGTGCGGAGGAGCGGGGTGACATGAGAACTTGGGAAGGTTGAAAACCAGCTGGTCTGCTGCGTTCTGGATAAGTTGCAGTGGTTTGATGGCACAAGTGGGGAGCCCAGCCAACAGCGAGTTTGTCCCCCTTTCTGATTCTCTGTTTTTGCATATTTTTTACACTGAATGTTATCAGATCTTCAACCAAAATCTAATATTAATATCAACAGCTACAGGAAGTGTTTGGTTGCAGTCATTGCAGCTAAAGGTGGCACAACCAGTTATTGTGTGTAAGAGGGCAACTATTTTTTCACACAGGGGCATTGGGTGTTGCATAATTTTGTTATTTAAATTAAATAATTATGAACATTTTGTATTATTTGTTACATCTAATATTAGGTTTTGGTTGAAAATCTAATAGCATTCAGTGTCAAAAATATGAAAATAGAGAAAATCAGAAAGGGAGCTAATACTTTCACGGCACTGTATGTTGTGTATTGTACATTTACTGATACGTCTGGGCATCTGCAAATTATGAAAATTACGCTTAGATGAATGGTGAGTGAATCTACCTTTGGGGAGGAAAGCTAGGCACAGACACGGGTGGGACCTCTTCCTCTGGCTCTACCTTCTTCCTCTTCCTCTTCCTGCCTTTCGCCAGTGCATTGGCGCCCCTAGTGTTCTCCCCTTTCAGAGGGGAACACAATCCATTTTGGGGTTTGGCGTCCTCGTAGATGGTGAGGGGTCTCTTGACCGAGCTGTTTGGGGTGTGAGCCCCGCAGTAAGCCGTCTTCTTCACCGAAAACGTTGGTTCGCCAGTCTCCGTTACCTCCTTGATGGGTTCCATCTTCATAAAGAGTCCGGCTTTCTGAGCACAGCTGACGTGGAAGGCGGTGTAGCAGTTAGCCTTGTGACACTGGATACAGGCCCCCACCCCCTTCTCCTTACAGAGGTAGCAGGTGAGCTTCCAGCGGGCGGACGGAATGTTGCCGACTCCGTCGATGGGCTCGATGAAGACCGTGTTGGAAAACCCTACCTCCGGCACCCACAAGGCGCACACCACGTGACCCCAGCGGTCATCGTCAGTCTTTTTCACTGCTCCGCCTTTGTTAGGACACAGTATGCAGCCTGCGGGCTGGGTGGGCGACTGGAGGCAGTGCCGGCACAGCCACTGTCCCTCTGGGATGTAAGGGACGCCGTAACACTCTTGGTGCACGGCCAGGTTGCACATGTCACAGAAGAGGATGACGTTGCTGTCCTGGCCGTCTCCGTCCATGCAAATGCAGCAGACTGCGTCCTCGTCTATGGTCAGCTTGTCCTGGCCCTGGCTCTCCATCTCCATCTGGGTCTCCTTCTCAAAGCGGTCCACCAGGAACTCAAACACGTTGTAGGACACCTGGTGGTGGGAGGGAGAACAGTAAACAGTTGCACATTTATTGTAGTATTAATTATACTTTGTTGACTATTGTTGTGTTGTATTGTTTTCTTAGCCTGTGATCCATTTGTTTTTGTTTCTTTGGGGGAGGGGGGAGCTAGCCTGAGTGTCAGTCTGTTTTTGCTCTCTTGTCTAGTTGGCAAAAGAGTAGAAACAGACTGAAATCAAATCCAAGTTTATTAGTCGTGTACACAGTTTAACAGATGTTATAGCGGCTGCAGCGAAAAGCTTATGTTACTAGCTCCTAACAATGCAGTATAATGGCAAAGTTCACAAATAATAAAAAAATTATAAATACATAATAAAAAACAACTAGAAATGCCAGAATTAATCCAATTAACAACCCAAATACCACTGTAACAGTTATCCAAATGCAATCTATGCGTATTTACACCTGATTAAATTTACACAAGATATCATTCTTAGTATATGTACAGCAGTAGCTATACGATGAGTGTACAAAACATTAGGAACACCTTTCTAATATTGAGTTGCACCCCCCTTTGCCATCAGAACAGCCTCAATTCATTGGGGCATGGACTCTACAAGGTGTCGAAAGCGTTCCACAGGGATGTTTCCAACAGTTGTGTCAATTTGGCTGGATGTCCTTCGGGTGGTGGACCATTCTTGATACACACAGGAATTTGTTGATTGTGAAAAACCCAGCAGCATTGCAATTCTTGTCACACTCAAACCGGTGTGCCTGGCACCTACTACAATACCCTGTTCAAAGGCACTTAAATATTCTGTCTTCCCCATTCACCCTCTGAATGGCACACATACACAATCCATGTCTCAATTGTCTCAAGGCTTAAAAAGCCTACTTTAACAGGTCACCTCCCCTTCATCTACACTGATTTGAAATGGATTTAACAGGTGACATTAATAAGGGATCATAGCTTTCACCTGGATTCACCTGGTCAGTCTATGTCCTGGAAAGAGCAGGTGTTCCTAATGTTTTGTTCACGGAGTGTCTCAGAGTGAGCTATGTCAAGAATCCAGTATATAAATAAATATGTGGTGTATAAAGAGTGTAACTAAAATGCAATGTACAGTAGTAGAAATCTTAGAATATGTATTTAAATACACAGTAAAAAAAAAACATGGCAAAAAGGATTGACTGGCACCCAGGCTACGGGGGAGCAGCCTCACCATGAAGTTTTGTAATTCTGAAAAGGCGTAATTTATAAAGAAAAGGCCTACCTGACTGACGCCTTCACTTCTCCTCTTATCGTTAACTACTTCCAGCCAAGCGTAGTCCTCCTCATCCATATCATACTCCACCTCCTCATCCAGCTCCTCCGACGTCTTCTCCACATACTTATAATACACTGGGGGCCTCCCGGGGACAGCTGGAAGGTTATACTCCACAGTCCGGATCTTGGCCTCTGGAAGTGTCTGTGCTGGTGCTGCCTGTGCTGCTGTAGATCCATGTGTTGTGTGGTTCTGTGCGACCGCAGCTGCACTCCTCTTCTCCTGGCTGTTTTTTAACCGGACGGAGCGCATCGGCGTCTGCTGAGGCTTCTCCATGTTCTCCTTATTGCTGGTGCACTCCATCATCTCCTGGGCCGTAGGGTCATCATCCGCGATCACGTCCAGCTTGTCGTAGATGCTGATCCGGTGCACCCGGCCGTCAATCTCCATGTCCACCATGCGCTGGGCCTGGGCGTAGGTCAGAGTCTGTTTGTTGGGGGACGGACGGATGGGGGAGGGCGGCCGCTGGGGCACGGGGACCCTGTGGTGCCGAGCCTTCTTCCTCATCCTCGACACCTGAACAGCTGCAAGGAGAAGCAAAGCAGGTACATAGATGAGTCTATATCACAACACGAGAAAGTAAACAAGCATGGGGAAGACAGAAGCAGACAGATTACCATCACAATACAATGTCATTAAGTTAAAAAACTGTGTAAACAAATAGTATTTTTGACAGGTTTTACCTCCTACGGGTGTGGTAACGGAGACAAACACGAGGACAATGTAAACAAGCATCAACTGGTGAAGGTATTTGAAAAGATAGCTGGAAGTTGGCCTATCTGTTGATCGACAATGTGTGATATCAGTTTGAGGATTTCCATTTCCATAGCATTGTTGAATTTTCATTTGTTTACATTAGAAACTATAATGTATAATCATGAGTGGAAATGGGGACTGGGAGAGTGGAGCATCTGCTAAGACATATTAATAAAAAAGTGTGTCACTAAAAAGCATGAGGGACAAGGGGATATTAGTGATATTAGAGGGAAAGGCATGGCTTGTGTTAAAAAAAGATACTCAGGTTTCCCATGACAGCAAAAGTATTCGATAACTGCTAAAGCTGCTAACAAGATAAGAGTTTAATTAAAAGTTTGAACAAGAAATATCTCTGCATGGGTATGTATGAAAAATGTGTTCCGCTTTAGAGTGGTTGGTTGGATATTATATATATATATATATATACACATACACACACACACACATAGTGCCAGTCAAAAGTTTGGACACCTACTCATTCAAGGGTTTTTCTTTATTTTTACTATTTTCTACATTGTAGAATAATAGGGAATACATCAAAACTATGAAATAACACATATGGAATCATGTAGTAACCCAAAAAGTGTTAAACAAATCAAATACATTTTTTATTTGAGATTCTTCAAAGTAGCCACCCTTTGCCTTGATGACAGCTTTGCACACTCTTGGCATTCTCTCAACCAGCTTCATGAGGAAGTCACCTGGAATGCATTTCAATTAACAGGTGTGCCTTCTTAAAAGTATATTTGTGGAATTTCTATCCTTCTTAATGTGTTTGAGCCAATCAGATGTGTTGTGAAAAGGTAGGGGGGTATACAGAAGATAGCCCTATTTGATAAAAGACCAAGTCCATATTAGGGCAAGAACAGCTCAAATAAGCAAAGAGACACGACAGTCCATCATTACTTTAAGACATGAGTCAGTCAATGCGGAACATTTCAAGAACTTTGAAAGTGTCTTCAAGTGCAGTCGCAAAAACGATCAAGCGCTATGATGAAACTGGCTCTCATGAGGACCGCCACAGGAATGGAAGACCCAGAGTTACCTCTGCTGCAGAGGATAAGTTCATTAGAGTTACCAGCCTCAGAAATTGCAGCCCAAATAAATGCTTCACAGAGTTCAAGTAACAGACAGATCAACATCAACTGTTCAGAGGAAACTGCGTGAATCAGGCCTTCATGGTCAAATTGCTGCAAATAAACCACTACTAAAGGACACCAATAAGAAGAAGAGACTTGCTTGGGCCAAGAAACACGAGCAACGGACATTAGACCGGTGGAAATCTGTCCTTTTGTCTGAGGAGTCCAAATTTGAGATTTTTGGTTCCAACCCGCCGTGTCTTTCTGAGACGCAGAGTAGGTGAACGGATGATCTCCACATGTGTGATTCTCACCGTGAAGCATGGAGGAGGAGGTATGATGGTGTGGAGGTGCTTTGCTGGTGACACTGTCAGTGATTTATTTAGAATTCAAGGCACACTTAACCAGCATGGCTACCACAGCATTCTGCAGCGATACGCCATCACATTTGGTTTGCGCTTAGTGGGACTATAATTTGTTTTTCAACAGGACAATGACCCAACACACCTCCAGGCTGTGTAAGGGCCATTTGACCAAGAAGGAGAGTGATGGAGTGCTGCATCAGATGACCTGGCCTCCACAATCACCTGACCTCAACCCAATTGAGATGGTTTGGGATGAGTTGGACCGCAGAGTGAAGGAAAAGCAGTGCTCAGCAAGTCTCTTTCAAGACTGTTGGAAAAGCATTCCAGGTGAACCTGGTTGAGAGAATGCCAAGAGTGAAGAATCTCAAATAAAAATTATATTTTGATTTGTTTAACACTTTTTTGGTTACTACATGATTCAGCAACCATCAGTCCTGTGTTCCAATGGCACGTTGTGTTTGCTAATCCAAGTTTATCATTTTAAAAGGCCAACTGATCATTAGAAAACCCCTTTGCAATTATGTTAGCACAGCTGAAAACTGTTGTGCTTATTAAATAAGCAACAAAACTGGCCTTCTTGAGACTAGTTGGGTATCTGGTTCATCAGCAATTGTTGGTTCGATTTCTCAGAACAAGAATAGACTGACGAGTTTCAGAAGAAAGTTATTTGTTTCTGGCCATTTTGAGCCTGTAATCGAACCCACAATTGCTGATGCTCCAGATACTCAACTAGTCTCAAGAAGGACAGTTTTATTGCTTCTTTAAATCCACACAAAGTTTTCAGCTGTGCTAACATAATTGCAAAATGGTTTTCTAATGATCAATTAGCCTTTTAAAATGATAGACTTGGATTAGCAAACACAACGTGCCATTGGAACACAGGACTGATAGTTGCTGATAATGGGCCTCTGTTCGCCTATGTAGATATTCCATTACAAATCAGCCGTTTCCAGCTACAATAGACATTTACAACATTAACAATGTCTATACTGTATTTCTGATCAATTTGATGTTATTTTAATGGACAAAAAAATTGCTTTTCTTTTGAAAACAAGGACATTTCTAAGTGACCCCAAACTTTTGAACGGTAGTGTGTTTATATATATAAATACTGTCTGGTTATTCTTATGGATCATTCAAGATTTGAGCTCCAATATCCCGCATTAAATAACACAGGGCCTAAACATTACAACACAAGACAGACACAGGAAATGTTTTGGGTTGTTAGAGACAATCGAAATGTCTAATCAATAACGTTTGCTATGCCAGTGAGGACAAATTGTTCACACGGTCTGCGTAAAACAAGGGGAATGTTTACTTTAGCCTTTTAAAATTGTGTTAACTTTGTTGCGCCTAGGAGTGGCAGCCAACTGAGCCAAGCCCCCCACTCACCAAACTATAAACTGCACCATGATAAATTGCACCATTTCATTTAACATTTGGTCCGTTCCGCGGACGTCATGGTTCTTTCTAGTAAACTAGCAGCTGGCTGAAGAAAGAGAACAGCGATACCAACGAATAGCTCAAACAGAGAAAGCCAGTGTGGGCTAGTAGCTAACAATAACATTACTGTAGTTACTAATGCTAGTTACAGTTAGCTAACAACCTAACGCTAGCAAATGGCGTCAAACAAAACAAGGCAACCGAGCCCTTTAAACATGTATTGTGCTTCCTACAACACACGCAGAATTAATCAGTTACTGACCGACTATGCTCTTCATAATCCATGATCAAATACATCGGAAAAATAAACAAAAAAACCACATACCCCAGAACTAGAAACAGCTTTGCTGGTTGAAGATATAAGCTAGTCAACAGCCTTTGAAAGCAATGGCGATGTGGCCTGCTCAATGGCTGTAATTTCGTACAAAATGTTCTCATCCAACAGGAAATGATTAGGCTTTTTCAGTAATAAAGGAGAAGAATGCATTTGGGAGCACTCTGCGTCTTGATAAATACTAGATTGGATTCTATCCTGAGCATAAAAGTATTTGCTCACGGATCTGAATTTGCTTCCTCCCTATAGCCTAGAACCGTTTCGAGGCTGCAACTGCGAGCTCGAGCGCTTCCCCCCACAACAATGCAGTGCACGAGCGTTGTCCCACCCGCTACGCACAACGCAACTATTAACGCTAAAGGTCATGTCGTGGCATGGGTCCACAAATTATACACACAAATAGAACAATGAGCCAGATATTTCACAAATGTATGAATGTGACGCATTCGGTTGGCGTTTAAAAAGATGGAGCGATATGGATTTTGGCCGACATTCTGCAAATTTGCTCATCGATGAAACATTTCATCTCCATACAGTTTTCCGTTTCCAAGAATCTGTAACAAACAGAGTGGACTGCGTTTTGTAGACTTTAGCCTTTGCCAAAGTTTTAAAAAAATGGTGTTGTTTAGGAGTGCAAGGGCGAATTTAGTTATTGCACACGCGCATTTCACAGAATAGGCGTTCCCTAACTGAAATATGCAAATAAATGCTAGAACGAGCCAATAAGATTCCACTAGCTCGTGCTTGGCTCTGCCCAACTCCTTGCTTGTTCTGCCCAGCTCCCATTGGCAACGACAGGCTCTGGTCTATCTTGGGTTAGTTATACAATTCTTTGTTATCCATGACAGAAGAGAAGGTCGTCACTAGTTAACACAGTCACAAAGTCAGAAGGCCCGCCTAGTCGACCAATCAAATTAGGGAGTGTGATTGGTAATCTGATTGGTCTATTAGGCGGGTCTTCCTACTTTGTGGCTGTGGTAACTAGTGACGAACAGAAGGGTCAGCGAGACACCACCTCCTCATTCTTTCTGATCGGGGCCACTCTGGCACATTGGTACTGACCCAATGATAAAAGACAGTGAATATGCACACTCACCGGGAATATGGCAGATGTTCTCCGCTGGTGCCAATAAGATTGGTTACTGTTTGCTCAATTAAATTAAGAATTTTGATAACTAAAATACAGATTGGAGTCTTTTCATTGTCATCTCTTTACAGCAATAGCCATTTGCTTTCCAAACAGTTTTCCCGCGATTGTATTTTTAAATATTGAGATATGCCTGGCTGTGTCTCTCTGCGTTTCACTGGCAGTCGCAACTCAATCATCAATTTGTTATTTGCAGCGCGTGCTGCCCAAAATGCGGGCCCTTCCGACCTTAGGCTATGCCATTTAAAACAATCCACAGCTTTAAAAAATAAAAAGATGAAGCTAATGATCCTCTGTGGCCAAATCATGCTTTCTGGTGTAGTAGCCTATTTTTTATGGTTTTATTTATTTATCTATAGACAGGAGTAAGCTAATTAGGCTAGGCCTAATACATTTACTTTAGGGAAGGCTTATGCCTTTTAATGTGGCAGAAACATTTTACATTTACATTTTAGTCTTTTAGCAGACGCTCTTATCCAGAGCGACTTACAGTTAGTGAGTGCATACCCACAACCCTGGCGTTGCAAACGCCATGCTCTACCAACTGAGCTACATCCCACCCCATTCCCTCCCCTACCCTGGACGACGCTGGGCCAATTGTGCGCCGCCCCATAGGTCTCCCGGTCACGGCCGGCTACGACAGAGCCTGGATTCGAACCAGGATCTCTAGTGGCACAGCTAGCCTTAGACCACTCGGGAGATAACCAGTCATGATGTTTTCAACTAATTGTCAAAAAATCTCTTAACTAAGGTGCTTGCGAACATTTATTCACTCACTAAATAATTTCAGCATCCAAACCCCAACAGTGCACTGTGCACCCGCAATTTGATTAATGGAATGAGGCATCAGTTACAAAACACCTACGTGTATTGTAATTTTACATTTTAGTCATTTAGCAGACGTTCTTATCCAGAGCGACTTACAGTTAGTGAGTGCATACATTAAAAAAAATTCATACCCCCGTGGGAATCGAACCCACAACCCGGCGTTGGAAACGCCATGCTCTACCAACTGAGCTACATCCCTGACCGGCCATTCCCTCCCCTACCCTGGAAGACGCTGGGCCAATTACGACAGAGCCTGGATTCGAACCAGGATCTCTAGTGGCACAGCTAGCACTGCGATGCAGTGCCTTAGACCTGCGCCACTCGGGACATTGTGCGATTGTCATTAGGCCTCAGGGTTGTCAGGTCTACCTACAATTTCTAGCCCAATGACCTACAATTTCTAGCCCAATGACCACTCAGAACCAGCCCAAATGGCCTGAAAACTAGCCCAATTTTTTTATTCCCAGCAAGAGAGGTGTTGCCACATTTATAAAAAAAAAAATGTTTTACATAATGTTATGGAGCAAATTAAGAAGGAATATCGACGTAACTTGTAACTACGTTAGACGCAACATTTGGTTTTCATCAAAATAATATTAATTGCGAACTATGACATAATAAACTAATTTGAATATGTCGCAAGAGAAAATATAATTTGCATTTAATAAATTTCCCTGATCATTTTCCATCAATGGATGTCGATTTAAGTCGTTTGACTGCTATGATTAAGCAATAAGGAACGAGAGGGTATGGTGCTAAGGGCTGTTCTTAATCATGATGCAAGGCGGAGTGCCTGGATACAGCTGTTAGCTGTGGTATATTGGCAAAATACCACAAACCCCCAGGGTACCTTATTGCTATTATAAACTGGTTACCAATGTAAAACATTTTTTGGGGTCATACCCATTGTATACGGTCTGATATACCATGGCTTTCAGCCAATCAGCATTCAGGGTTCGAACCCAGTTTATAATTGTAAATAAATCCCTTTTGCACATGTGCATAACTATAGATAAATCTGACAGGAGAGTTTGAGTGATGAAAGATGGACAGAGGATCTCGAAAGCTCTGAGAAACAAAACACTTGGACAAACTTTAAAAAACGAATGTTAGGCTATTTTCTGAAAATTGAGCAGTTATTATGTGCCAGATATTAAGACTAAAAACAGTTATAAATGGCCAATTTGCGAAATTCAACTTTGCCATGGTTTGCTTAGATACACTACATGGCCAAAAGTATGTGGACACCTGCTCGTCGAAAATCTCATTCCACAATCATGGGCATGAATATGGAGTTGGTCCCCCCTTTGCTACTATAACAGCCTCCACTCTTCTGGGAAGGCTTTCCACTAGATGTTGGAACATTGCTGCAGGGACTTGCTTCCATTCAGTCAGAAGAGCATTAGTGAGGTCAGGCACTGATGTTGGGCTATTAAGCCTGGCTCGCAGTCGGTGTTCCAATTCATTCCAAAGGTGTTCGATGGGGTTGAGGTCAGGGCTCTGTTCAGGCCAGTCAAGTTCTTCCACACAAATCTCGACAAACCATTTCTGTATGGACCTCGCTTTGTGCATGGGGGCATTGTCATGCTGAAACAGGAAATGGCTTTCCCCAAACGGCTGCCACAAAGTTGGAAGCACAAAATCGTCTAGAATGTCATTGTATGCTGTAGCATTAAGATTTCCCTTCACTGGAACCAGTGGTGGTCGGTGCCGTTTAAGATGAGAGAGGACGTTTTTTTTCTTTCTCATAAGCATGGCCTTATTTCTATTACAGCATATTGGATGACTGTCATTCATATTCCATTCACCCAGTTCAATGTAACAGCCTATGAATGAAAGTTTACAATATGCTGTACGTGTACACAGGTTGAGAGAAAAATGTGAGGTGACAGACAGTGACACATTCAATACTGCCTTGCACACTCTTGCCTGCATCTAGCTGATCTATGGTGTAATCATTAGTCCAACAGTTGCAAACAATAGTTTCCGTTGGACAAATTCAGGTACAGTATGTTTATCCCCGTTCTGTTCCGTTTGCTTCCGTTTAAGAAATGTTTTTCAACAGAATTGGCGGAATGAATACACCCCTGATCACACATAAACACAGTTCACTTTCATAGCAGCCACGTTGTATTCCTTCTCACATCTATGCACTCTCCTCCTCTCACCTCTTCCCTTCTCTTGTGGACTTCAATGCACAACACATCAGCTGTATGTGACCAGGCAAAAAAACTTTCCAAGCCAAACCACTACACACAGCCTACATCGTTGTCACTATATTAGCTAACGTAACGTCATGGTCAACATAGCTAATAGAATTAATGCAATACTAAATCTGCTACAATCATACAGTAATGTTACAGTGTACAGTCAGTAAGCAGTTTAGCACTTACAACGGTGGGCCCCTGTGGCAATAAATTAGTAAAACCAAAAGCTTGTTGGATAGTCATAGCCAGCTAGCTAACATAGCATCCCTCTGTTTGAGCAGGGTGTTTGAGTAGGCTAAACTAGCTAGCTGCATTTGCTAGCTAAGTAAGTGAAACTCTCTTGCTTCTTCTTCATTTTGGAATATATTTATTTGTTCAAAACTGTTCAACTATTGTCTTTCTCTCTCTTTCAGTCAACTACTCACCACATTTATGCACTGCAGTGAGAGCTAGCTGTAGTTTATGCTTTCAGTACTAGATTCATTATCTGATCCTTTGATTGG